CCTGCTGAAAACCCTACCTCCGCGCAGGTGCTTCGCTTACTTAATCGCACCGAAACTATTCTGCTTCGATTTCATTGTTTCCTCATTATATACATTCTATCTGCACGTGTCATGGCATTCGTTACAATTAAAAAGGCGATATACCTGTTTAATAGCGTGTTTGGCATCACATTCTTGATGCGTATAGATAGAAGCCAATAGGATGTTGCTTCTGCATCTTTTTTTTTTTTTTTTTTTGGGTCAGCAAGAGAAATTTATTAATACTTAGGCACTAGAAGTAACTAGAAATGCAAAGGTAATTACCACACTTTAACAAGTGATTTTGGGGTTTTTAATTAGACGGACGTGGTTTTTGTCATTTTTCATGTGTATCCAAACACACTAAAATCATGTTGAGATATAAGTTAGTTAGCATGATTTTGGGTTACTAGTCACATGTTTGTTTCCGGATTCAAAATTGATAGAGTTGAATCAACTTTAGGAAACTTCATCCTTGCATAAAAAAAAATATATTGTTTTTAAGATAAGAATATCCCGATATAAGTAATTCAAAATTAACCTTGTAAAATCAATTTTGCAAATGCTAATCCAAACACATGTTTGTGCTTGTGTACCAACGAGTAGTTGGTTAGAGTAGTATTATTGGACTTGATTCTCTTAAGTAAAGTCTCGGGTTTGAATTTTGAAGATGTAAAAAACATGGTGTGGAAGAGGGATTCTACTAAAAATGGTTAGCCAAAGTTTTCTAATAGAGAATAGTCATTGACGAAATTGGTAGATAGATAAGATGAATTTTTATTATTACAATTATTGTTGTCAATTATTTATTTTTCCTTTGTCTGATTTTCTTTGCTGTCAATGGACCTACTGAGAAACTGTGCCCCTGCTCCTTCTCGAAAGGGCAAAGGGAATGTTGTGTTTAAACAGCTATTAGATTGATAACTTGGTTTCCTGCCATATCATTTCCTTTATTTCTTCAATGAAAAATTTCTATTTTGGTATTTGATTTTACTTCTACTTATTTTATTTCTTTCATCTTTTTTAATGTAAGAAGGAAAACAATGCTCAGCCTGAAGACACGAGTAGACCTGGTGTTATAATATCTAATCATGTGTCGTATTTGGATATTTTGTATCACACATCTTCCACATTCCCAAGTTTCGTTGCTAAGGTTTGTGATGTTGTGACAAGTCCTTCCTCCCTTACTCTTAAGCACATGTTTCATTGTTGGCCTATAGTTTTGTAACTGACGTTTTTTTTTTTTTTAATTTCAAATGCTTTATTTCAATCTTGGATCTCATCGATGAAGAGATCAGTGGCTAAACTTCCTCTTGTTGGTCTCATCAGGTCTGTGTCTTTTAATCAGTTTCTTCATATTTAGATCCTGGGGTATGTCCCTCATTATTTTTTTCTCAGTGATAGATTGAAACTTCATTTAGGATCAACTCAAAGTTAGTCAACAAGAATGTTACATCTTATCTGCTTAAATGTTCCATATCCTTTCTTTATTAGTAGGAATTTTCAGAATCACTTGCTTACATACATGGCATGTTTTGTGAGTTGTGACAGTAAGTGCCTTGGTTGCGTCTTGGTTCAACGGGAATCGAAGTCATCGGACTTTAAGGGTGTTTCAGGTGTGTATGTACTTTGAAATAATTCTGAAAATGTGTGCAATTTTAATAAAGTAAACCCCATCTTTTCCTTCTGCGTGATTCTTCCCTTCATATTTTAGTGGCATAAAAGTTGCATGGAATCATTTGATCTTGAATTTTTAAATTATTGAAGAAAACATTGTTTGCGACAATTTTGGTTCCTTTGATCTTGAATTGTTTGATTTTGAGTCCATAAATGGTACAGAGATTGATGGGTTTTGATTCAAGAACTTCCAACTGGATTATCTTGATTGAAAGATCTGTGAGAATTTATCTTACAATAGAATTTTTTTATCTGTTGCTCCTGATAACAGTTGGTTTTGAACAAGTATGATGTCTGGAAGCAATTGGGGTAGATAATCTGATATTCATATAGGAAATTGAGTTATTAAAATTGGTGAGAGGACGAAAGTGGGAACTTTTTGAATTCTTATGAGCATCACCGGCCATATAAACTGGCCAGGTTAGAAGCTTCTGACCAATTTTTCCTGTTCTTCTCAAGCCTGCATTAAATTATATTTTAAATATGTGAGTTGTGCAGACAAAAAGTTATTTTTGTTGAAATTACGTTATTTAACTATATGGTGTTTGTGGAAGAAGTAAAAGAATAATCATCGTGTTATTTAAAAATTCAGATGTTGCAAAGGTGTTTCCTTTCTGCTGTATATGTCGTATTTCTTGATGGATCATCTAAAACACTTCATCTAATTATAGTATTATACACAATAAAGTTCTAAATCATTTGGGTGTTAAGGTTTCATTTATATATAAAAGATGTTCTGCAGTCATTATAGGTGGTGTCATATATGGTTAACTGTTTTTATAATTTCTTTTTATTAACAGTGGATCAAAATAAGTAATTTTTATTGTGTTTAATTTTAATTGATTGATTACTTTAGTTTTTTAATTTCTCTTTAGGCTTCTAGATATACTCTAGCTTATGATGTATAGATATGATACATGTTTCGGATATGTATAATGTATCCAATACTGCAATATGATTATTCAATAAATATATAAGATAATACGAGTAAGACAAATATGTAAAAGTGTATAAAAGATCATAAAAAAAATAAATATGTAATTGCAATTCTGCATATCCAAATTAAGAGCATACTTCTTGGATATTTCACTGTCATCATGAATTACTTCCTATTGTTTACAAATAGGAATAAACCATCTATTAAGAGGGAAATTTCTTTTTTTAGTTCATCAATGGATAATGCTTCCATATTTATATATTAGACATGCTTATATGTCTCATTGGATATCTATTGGATACAAATACATGAGACAAATTGAATTATCGGTACTTGATAGACTCTAGTTGTTTGTCATGTGTAGGGGTGTCCCAATTGTCTTTTGACTATGCATATTCATGTGTATTAACATGTCAAGTGAGGATCTTAGATTCTTAATACTTTCTTTAAACATATATTCTAGTGTTGCAACTTGTGGCTAGACTTGATACTAAATGCAATCTTTTCGTGGCATATTTAGGTCTATTAAATGTCTGGTAAAACTAAACTGACCTTTCTTGCCGCAGCTGTTGTCACTGAAAGAATTCGAGAAGCTCATCAAAATACATCTGCTCCAATAATGATGTTATTTCCAGGTTATCATCTTCTTAATTGTATGTTCTCTTTTTTGGGCAGGACGGGGCGACGGGGCAGTGGGGGAGTCGGGTAAAAATAATCCTGTTAATTTTGTTACTGTCATAAGTTTCACTTTTGCTTGATTTTATTTTCATTGTGCATCTTGTATATTATTTTAATTGACAAATGTAGAAGTCTTTTCCGTATATATACATGTGGGTATGTGTGCGGGCATGTGTAATCAATTGAAGATAGAAGTTGTTGCCTTCACAGGTTCACCATATCCTATGTATGAAATGAATATGGCATCCATGTTCTCGTCCTGGAAATGTAGGTGGATGTAGATGTTAATTTACCGTTCCCTTCAAGTTCTTTTTTAAAGTGATTGAACATATTTTTCAACATTTTACTTCTTTGTTAAACCTAACGATTCATTTGTTAAATTTATTTTTAGCTACTTCATCTCTCATTTTCGTCTTCAAATATTGCTTTATAGTCTATACCTTAAATTTCTTTAGCTTTATACTCTTATTAACTGTTCTGTTTTGCCAGTGTCACGCCTCATATCCTAGGCAATATTAAAATTTTTGCTCATTGTATAATTCCTTGTATATCATTAGTTTGTATCTATCAATAATTATCAGTGATCTTGACAATCATAATTGTTCATTGTATATTCTACAGAAGGTACAACCACAAATGGGGAGTTTCTCCTTCCATTCAAGACTGGTGGATTTTTAGCAAAAGCACCAGTACTTCCTGTAATTTTAAGTTATCATTACCAGAGATTTAACCCTGCCTGGGAATCCATATCTGGTGTAAGCATTTGAATAGTATTAGAGCTTCCTGTTTTCACTGAATTTGATATTGTTATTTTTGTACCAAACATATAAACTGCTGTATCGGTATGTCGTAATTTAAATCTGTAAATTTTCCTTGGATGTGAAAAGCCACCTACTTCTTAAGCCCTTTTCTGATTGAAGTTTGGTCTCTTGTTTACAAATTGTGAGAGGACAAGTGGATGTGTAAACTCTTTATACTCGGAGTGTGTTTGGATGAGGAATTTAAATGGAATAATTCATTTATTTAAAGAATTTTAAATTTTTTGAGGTGAAATACTTTGTTTGGATTGAGAATTTAAAAAGAATTTGAAATACAAGAATTTATGAAATTTATTGAAATAGTAGAATTTAAAATTATAAAAAAAAAAAAGTAAGAATTTGAAATTCCTCATATTTTTTTTCCTTATTTCACTTATATGTTTTATCTTATCTCTTCATATTTTTAATTATTAAATATTTAAAAATTGGTTAATATTTATTTTTATACAATTTCATTTAAAAATCTCGACATATAAATATATTTTTAAAATCAATTTTACTATGGTAGAATCAAATTACCATATCCAAATTAACAATTTAAAATTTTAAAAAAAATTGAATAGATTTATCCAAACAAAATATTTTAAGAATGATAGAAATTGAAATCAAAGTAATTCAAATACCAAGAATTTCAAATTCCTTGAATTTGGAAAATTTCTCATCCAAACACACCATCAGGGTTTAGTGTGGGGGTTGAGAATGGTCAATCAGTTATGCAGACAAAGGGTCAGCTAAATCATTTGCTTTCTACTAGTGTAAAATGTAATTACTTCATTCAGGACCAATAGAGATCTTCTCATGTGCTTCAAACATAGTGTGTGGTGCTAATCGTGTAGAAGAAACAAAATGCTTTGTATGCAATCATTTTTTCTTTTAAAATAAAAGTTATCTTCACATTCCTAATACTGAGCTAATAAATGTTCTTTTTGTTGAATCTGGCTGGTTATTTAATTTTGAATGATTGCCCTATCTCTAAGCTACTTCTTTTCTTTGTTGAAATTTTAATATACGTATATGTTGTTGGCAGGTGCGCCATGTGATTTTTATTCTCTGTCAGTTTGTAAATTATATGGAAGTGACACAGTTACCCACTTACTATCCCTCACAGCAGGAGCAGGATGATCCCAAACTATATGCTAATAATGTTAGAAGGCTGATGGCAAGTGAGGTATGTAACTCCTGTATAATAATTAAAATATATTATGAAAAACTACATCCTGACAGGATTTACCATAATTAATTAGGGGCAGGACATATATATTTTATTCTATACATGGAATCGGTGTTTATGTAACTCCTTACAGCAGGGAAAGACCTCTGTAATTGTCGAAAACAGAAAAATGATAACAGAAATGAAAAGAAAAGATGGATATGGTAGACACTGCATAGTCTTTGGGGGGTCTTGTGTCCTGCCTGCCCAAAGGCCACAGTTCCCTTCCCATTGACTGCCTGATTCCCCCCCTTACCCTCCTGCTCAAAATCATTTTCTCTAACAAGTAACAACATACACTCCTTCCTGACTCCTATTTCCCTGATGCCATCTGTCATGGCCGTTGACAGAAACCCCCCAATTATATTCCCTTCTCTGGCTCAGACGACTCATTCAATCACCACCTTTCACATTTTTATTCATCAAATTGACTTGAGTAGAGGGTATGGGTATCTATCAGTGTTTGCATATGTAAATTACTAAATTGACACCAATGTAATATTTCAAACTAATATCACTAAATAATTCTTTATAAAATTATTTTGGTTACTTCATCCAAATTACAAGTTTTTATCATGTTGATCTTGGTTCCAAATTTTAGAAAACCATAGATTGAGTTTTCCATATTTTTTCATTTGACATTTGTGTGTGTGTGCGTGACCTCTTTTGGACATACTCTGTTGGGAGTGTAATTAAATTAATGAAAATGAGTGAATAAAGTAGTTTGTGCAGACTGGGCTTGGTAGTAGACCAAAGAGGAACGCATTGTAAAATGAATGCCATTTTCAATTTTATTAACTGTTATTCTGAATAATTGGAGTGGAATAATGTTGTAAAGTGGAATAATTTCTTTCTGTGTTTTGGTAGTGCATCCTGTTTTGAAAAATTTATACAAGTGATTCGATGATATTAGATTGTTTTAGGGGCACAAATTTCTTGGTTTAGATTAAATGATACTAGTAGTTATAGGGACAATATTAACTTCTGTTCCTGTTAATTTTCGCTTCACTAGTTGGTTAATATCATAATCTCCATTCCTCTTGCATTATTTCCAAATCCTTTCCTTCAAAGGTACTTGCCCCAATGTTATGCATTTACTATGCAGTGGTTATTTATAGAGCCAAGGGGAGTAGAATGTATTGTATACCATTTAAATGGTAGCTGGTAGTTGATACTAGCATGATATTGTTTATATGTTTTGCTCGCAGGGTAATTTGATACTTTCAGATATTGGGCTAGCTGAAAAACGAATGTATCACGCTGCCCTCAATGGTAAATAGTAGCCTGCCTACTGTTTTGCATCAACAATTGATAGTTTCATGGCCTCGTGTCGAATGATATTTAATTCCAGTCAAGTTTTAGATTAGTAGTCTCAGCCACACTTATCACTTTTTTTCTTCATGTGTTTCTAACTTTCAACGTAGACCTTGTATATTTTTTCGTAAATTTGTTGTCAATTCATTTTGTAATAGATGAGAGAAGAGGTACAAGGTTTGAATTAAAAGTTAGACACTTGTAGGAAAAAAATTACTATATTGTATCAAAATTTATGAACACTTGAGCAGTAATATAACTATTGAAGGGCACCCTCTCTGACGAATCTCCTGACTCATTTGAGAAAGGCCATGTAAACTTGGATCTTAATCACCTGTTTCGTGTTCCTGTAGGTTTGTTTTCCCAATGCTAACTTGGCTTCATGGTCAGTGTATTCGCTGTATGGTTGTATTGTGTTATGAAAGAAAAAGATAGTACAGGAAATCCGGTGCTGAGCTAGATTCATATTTGAATAGTCGAGGTCCATGGAGATCCTCTCCAATGTAGGTGGCTTACAATATCATTGCTGATTCTGATTATTTTATTTTTTTTGCTTAGGGAGATTTAAGTTGCAAGTCTGTAACCTAGTAATGATTTCAATCTTAACAAGTGCTTAAGTTTATGGTAGAAGAGTTAGGGGCGCAGAGAATATCGTACATATGTAAAATATTTAAGTTGATGTTTATGAATTAGAATTTAAGCGAGCCTGTCATGAATTTTAGCAACCAAATGTTGCCTGTGTATACCATCGATATATCGTAAAGGGTGAACATCACGTTTAGAAAAACATGCAAGTCTTTTTGTACGTATCGAGTTGTAAAATTATAATTTGTTTTTTTTTCTTCTGTTTTTCAAATGAATTAATTGTCCGGTTAACAAGTTTAATATAAAACCTTCGCAGTCAATTTTCTCTGCATATAATTGGATTGAGGTTGTTGATGCATTTTATTCGCCAATCTTTATACAAAGTCATTTTGGATACAAACTTAGAAATGTTTTTGAGAAATTTTTTATTAAAAACTATTCTTTACTTTTAATTAAAAAAAAACTTTCAAAAACATTTTTAATTTACATCCAAAGAGACTCATAAAAAGTTAAAAATGTAAAAAAATTACACCAGTAGGTGGTGTTGCTCTCGTTTATAAGTTTCTTCTACAGCTTGGAAAGGATCATTCTTAGTTGCAAATTGACAGAATGAGCCATATCAACGGAAATCGTCGCACCATAATCAATAAAAAACAGGAAAAGTTAAAGGGCAAAAGACAAGAAAATGAAGTTATGTGACGAAACCCGAATCCTACTTACAAAAGACTACCATAAACTAGAGTCGTACAATCGTGCATTTCCTAGCTTCTCAAAGTTCAGTTACCTTTCTTTCATGGAACGATTCATGGATTTTCTCAATTCCCACGAGGGCCACGATGATGACAAGCAGCCTCTTAAGGGTGACTGTAGAAACAGTGAAGATGTGGAGAGGTGCTTTTGTCGCATTGAGATTGAGGACAAGCAATTGAAGCCACTTCGAAGCCTTCTCTTTTCACTATCACGAGGCTGATAATTAGGATCATGCCCCACAGCAGAAATCCTTAGTGCTTCGGGAAGAATGCAGTTGCAAATTGAACCTGCCACAAGGAATCAACATAATATGATATTAAGGGTAACGACGCTAATTTCAACGCCTGACGTAACTCTCAATCAGTCAAGTAACCTTTTTAATCGGTGTTTAGGATAAAACTCTAATGACCAACATCTCACAAAGTCAACTATGCCATTACAAGTTTACAACGTCCTTTCTTGTTCATACTATTAGCTATGCCATTAATTCTAAAACAATGCAAATGAGTAGCAACCACTAGTTAACTACCTAATAACCTCTAACCATTTAGCTTGGGCCAAAACTCAATGTACTTCTTACCAATTGTAAGGAAAAGGAAGGGGAAGAACTTAGAAATTCCAATCACAGCAGAAGTTGAAAACACACTGCAAAAGTTAACTACCATCTGAATGAAACAAGTAGAGCAGAAAATACCTAGCCTGGCCAGTCGATTTACCCATGTTGGAATTGATTTCCCCGTAAGCTTGTAACATATGTCTTTGCAGAAGTGGTTGCAGTTCTTAACAATTAAGTGATATGTGTCACCATTATAGCCTGCTGACTGGCGTTCCATGAACTCCCTAACCTGACTCGAATCCAAAGATGTGGTTCCTATGAATATTGACTTCCTGAATTTGAAGCCTGGACACTGTCGAGGTTCAACCTCAAAAACACCACTCGTTGGGTAGTCATGAGCTCCAAACGCGTATTCTACACCATGAACTGTAAAATACAGGTAAAATTGATTAGATAATATACATTCTAATTCAAAACTAAATAGCTACATTCAATGAGAAGCCAAGCAGAAACTTACTACTGCAGAATTAGGGAAGCACCCTTAAGTACAAATGAAGTCCTTAATTTATACCACTTGCAAATGAGGTCCTTAATTACCTCCTTTGGTTTTTAGATAAGTTCAGATTGCACAGAAAATTATAGGAACAAATATTGTGTATGGAAGTTACAAATTGGGGTTTCAGAGCATTTTCCAGTTTGCTCACTCAGTGTCCTCAAGTTACCAGTGTAAAGAATTTAAACAAGAAAATATACAAAACAATAAGATAATCTGCAGGCTGACACAGCTGGATTAGAGAAGGGTGAAGGGTGATTGGTAACCATATATTTCCTAATAAACATGTTATATATAACACAAATATATTGATTCCACATTATGCAATAAGAAATAACAAATAGATGAAAGAGCATAGTAATTTTACAAAATTAACTTTATTATTAATATTTGTCAAAAAGGATGCAGCATAAATTTTTAAAGGGATATTATTAGAGATATAAATGAAAAATAGGTAATGTATACCCCATGACATCTATTATGGGACGAAGAGAATAGTGATTTTGGAAATAACTTGAACATTCTTATGTTCGTAATGCAGATACCTTATAATGTAAACTTTTTGGCATCATACTATTTATTATTGAGTATCATGAAATTATTAGTAAGACTCGTTAAATAAAAAATGAGATCCACGTTATGAAGTTATTCAGACAGCACATAACCTAGCAAGGATTAAAATTTAGGTCTCCTCCATTGACCGATTGTCTTGTAATCTGGAAATGCAATTCATACTTAAATGAAAGGGTCATATATCCCTCCAAGACAAGGTCTAGTACTGATACATTTGAGAAAAACAGCAGATTACTACAAGTCATAACATGCCTGAATTAAGTGACAAAGCAAAATCAAAACTCAACATCAAAGCTTAAAAGTGCACCTTCTACACCAGAGTGATAGATACCAAGACCAGCCCAATAGACATAACCATTCATGGGTGTTAAGTCATACACATTCAGATAAACTGGTGTTTTCCCAGGTCCATAGCCAGCTGAATTGACTTTGCGAAATAAAGAAAAACGGGTTGCTGATTTTCCTTTCAAATGTAGAGGTACAATAGATTTCCATCCTTTCTTAGACTTCAATTTCATCTTTCCCTATAGGGCCTATATTTATAAAATCACTTTCCCTATAGGGAACACCAGCATAGTACCTGCATCCAGAAAACATTTAAGCACCAACATTCCTTCCTTTTCTGAAAACAATCAACCCATTTGCTCATTTTTTAATTTTGACAATTTAGTTTTATGACATAAATCTATCATTAGCGACTTCCTTCTTATGAGAGATGGCACAAGAAATCCAATTAAAGATACCTACAGATTTTGATGAATTCACAACTTCTAAGAGGGGGGAAACAAAAACCTTGCATATTGAAACAGACTCCATAGACTTGCAAAAATGCTGAACCAATTTAATGTTCAATTTAACTTCACCTATCAATCTTAATACTCAGCCAAGATAATCTCTCTCTCTCTCTTGTTACTTAACTGCAAAAGGGCTACAAGTCAAACTTAAATTCAAACTACTTGGTTGTCAAATTATGGAGAAAAGAAGACACCAACAAACTCATGTAAGATATGATACCATGAAATGACAAGTTAGCATTTCTAAGAGATAAAAATGAAATAAACTTCTTCATAAGTTAAAATTAACTTGAAAATAAGTTAATTTGTAGAAATTATCTCTTATTTACTCCTCCAAATCTTATTTTTAACTAATTGGTAAGTTAATTTTAGTTTATGAAAAAACTTATTTCAATTTCTCTTATTTTTTTCTCTAAGAAGTGCATCCACTTAAGCTTGTCAAAACAGGCCCTTAATCACTTTGCAACCCCTCAACACTCACACACACACACACAAGATCTTCAAAAACACTTCCCAGAATGAAAAGGCCCAAAAATACATGATGCAGAATTGGAAATGAGGAAACATAGCAGAATCAGTAGCAGATCAAAACAGCAAATACAGAATAAAAACTGCTAAAACCGAAAGAACAGAAATTGCAAGTGTTTTGGTTTCTGAAAGGGGCTAAGAGCAACCAAATGAAGCAGGGCATAAAGTAGAAGCAGAAGGGGGAGGCTCCAACTTGCAATTTAAGCACGTGGTGGAAATGAAAGAAGAGGATTTGGCCTCACAGCTTCAGATCTAGCACAAGGAAGAGTATAACACAACAATGGCATCAGAGAAGAAAAAAAAAGAAAGTTGTTTGGACTTTGGTGGCGGGGTAAAGAAAGGAATGGTCCCAAAATGCTAATGTAGCAGCACAACACTAGAACAGTGACCTCCAAAGCAAAAACCAAACATTTACAAATTCCTCAATTTTAGAGAGATAATAATAATAATAATAATAACAATAATATGAAGAACTTACAGCTACAGATTGAAAGCGTGCCGCCATTATAGGAAGAGAGAGAATCACAAAAACGATGAAGTGAAGACTCAATTGAGATTCTAATTCTAAACAAAAACAATGTTTAGTAGTGTTGTGTTAGCAACTCCAAACCATTGTCATGTACAAAAATGATATACATTCTCTTTGGTCACAATTTTCTTTTATTAGTTAAAGTTAATGTAATTTCACTCTAGTGTATTTTTTTTTCCTAATTATATATTACCGGTTCTTTTATCAGTGTTGTGTTAGTGAAATTTTTAAATTTTTATTAAAAATTCCAATACTTGGGAAAAAGTAAAGTAACGTAATTTTTACTGTCTTGTTCAGTTCTTAGATGCGAAAGCAGAAGAATTTTATGGTAAGCACTTCACCACGGCAAAGCTGCAAAACTCTTTTTTCTTTTTTTATGTATAGAAATATATTATTATTTTAATAAATGTTCGTGCCTACACGATTTATTACGTACGCCAGTAGTACTATCGTAGAATTTCACAATCAATGATGACACTTTCAAACATATTATTTCATACTTACTTTTACAACTAATTATAAATTATTTGTAATTTGAATTTTACAATTTAATATTAATTAGGATATTAAAATGGGAAATATCTTTAAATTTGAATATTAGTAATGTTAAGAGCATTACTCCGTTGCTTAGATTCCACGGGCATCGCGAGGCTGCTTCGTTTTTCTTTTCGTTACTTTCGGTTGGATTCTCGTGGTGTTGTTACAAAACTTAAAATGCACATTAAATCGTGCAATTCAATGCTAATTAAAGTTTATAATTCTACAAAAATTTTAAATTTATTGGTTAGTGTATGCATCCAACAGCTCACCGGTGACGAAATTCGTCGGTAGCATTAATGACAGCCAACTATAATATTCAACCCAAACTTAATAATCTTAGCCACAATCTACCCTTCATTAAGGGGTGCATAATACTACTAATAATAATGCAAATGGACCACTTCATAAGAATCACATCATTGGTAGCCATTACCACAGAAAGAGAAAGGATACTAGTAGATTATATTCTCAAACACTCTTTTTTAATATGTTCTTCATTGTTTAATTAAATTTATTAAAAATTATAAAATTATATATATTTCATGATCCCACTTAGCAAAGGTTTAATACATAATTTAGCCTTTAAATTTTTGAATTTTTTTTTATTAAGTCTCTAAAACTAAAAAAAAAAAATTAATTAGGTCCTTCATCTTTTTATATTTCTATATTAGTTTTTTATTGTAGTCAAGAATTCATTTACAATTCATGAAATTTCACAAAATATTTTCAATATCTCTGTAATTAGATAATCTTATTAGATCTAATATTATTTAGTGTTATCATCCATATATATCAATAATATTTTGTGAAATTTCAAGTATTGTAAACAAATGTTTAACTCCAAAACTAAATTTCAAAAAAAAAATAAAGGATCTAATTACAATTTCTTTTTAGTTTAGGACCTAATTTAAAAATCTTTAAAAGATTAGAAATGTATAAAGTCAATTTTAATTGCATGACTTTAAAAAATAAGATACCTTCAATTTTAATCACGTGTGTATATCAATGGTATTATACTCAAGATTGTGTATATTAATTTTTACTTGATTTAAACTTGTATAGATATCCAAAAATAAGTATTTACACATATTTTAAATATCATGTTATACACTTAAATAAAGAAATGTGATAAACTGCTAAATAAGTTTAGAATCATGTAAAACTTGATATACATGATCTTGAATATAATATCACATAATTTAACAGTAAAATAAGTTGATTTTGCATTATACAAGAAATTATTGAAGGTATATATGATATTAGAATCCATTGATATTAGTTGTAAGTTTACTAACTTACACTAAATTTTATACTTTCAATAACATTTTATACAATATAAATTTAATTAATCCTACCGTTGAATAATGTGATATTATATTTAAGTTTATATATATCAAATTTCATATGATTTATGATATTATATAAAGTTTATATATAAAATCAATTTGTTAAGTGTGATTATTCCAATTATATAATGCAATTTAATTTTATTTATAGTTGATTTCGAACTTAAATTTCTTTTAATATACTTCCATATTTATTAGGACCTGGTGTATAGATAAATAATAAGAAACTTCATGATTTGGATTTTTTTCAATAGTATTGAAGATAGTTGAATTAGATTCAAATTCAAATTTTGAGAATGGTATCCAAAAATGAGAATGGAAAAAGGATGAAGTTTGGTAGAACAGAATGAGAAGCATGGGTTAGGAAGGTGTGTGTGGAAGAGCACGTGGGGTGATTGGGGACATGACGTTGCTGAAAATGAAAAGTTAAGGAAGAACAGTAGTAGGGCCTGGTGATGCTGCAACCAACGACAATAGTTTCCAAAGAGTGATGGGGTACTATTAGTTTATAGCTTAATACTTTAACCCAAATTCACTCTGCAACCAGCTTTCAATTATTGTCCTTCACCTCCAGAAATTCTAATACGAAATAGAATGAAAAGTGGTAGATCAATGAAATATATTTTTAACTATTAGATTTAATAATAAAATAATTAATGGTTCAGATTTATTACTTGTAATTTGTTTATGGAAATTTTTGTATTTTGCATATTAGTTCCTTCCCTGTTTAAGGTTACTATTTTGGGTGCCGGCAGGTGGTGAGGACGAGGAAAACGACAGTAGCAAGTGCGACGGCGAGGCTGTCGGGGGCGAGTCAAGGGCGGGGAGGGCCGGATTTGGAGATGACGAGGTTTAGGATTTAGGAGAGACCCTGAGAGAGTTGAACGTTGCAGACGACGGGGAAGGGGAGGTAGCGGCAGAGGAGGGACATGAGGCCGATGGAGCCGAGGAGGAGGAGTTCGCGCCTCCGCTGCCACTAAGGATGGCAATGAAGCGAGCCGGGTACGGGTTTCATGATACTCGCCCTAGTCCTCGCGACTCAAACTCATCCTCGTACAAGTAACCGTACTTGCCAGGTATGTAATTTTTGTCCCCATCCCCATCCTCGTCGAGTATCGGGTATACCCGTACCCGTACCCGTAAAAAATTATTATATTTTTTTTACAAAAAAAATACATAATATTTTTAAATTATTTTTTCATTATATTATAATTATAATTAAATTTTTTTTCTATCTTATATTTTAATCAAGAAATTTCTTAATAATTAAATAACTATAAATGTTTCACATTATAATAAATAATTACACGTAATAAAATATTAAATTTTTTAACATAATTCAATCGGGGACGGGTATGGGTACGGGTACGGGTACAGGGCGGGTATTCCCTGTCAAAGTCAAGACAGGTTCGAGTATTACCCACGAGTACAGGTTTATTTGCCATCCCTAGTTGCCACCGCGCGAACAAAGTCACGCCTTCGTTGCTACCACTGTGTTGCCACCACCGTGAAAGGAGACAACACCTCCGCTGCCACCGTACCTCCGCCGCCACCGTGCCTCCGCCACCACCGTGCCTCCACAATGCCTCCGCATATAATATAAAGACTATTTTGTAATTTTAAATAAGTTGGAAAACCTGCTATTGCAGGTTATTTTACTACCTCATAGATGAGGCATTGGTTGAACTGCTTCATGTTATAACAGTTCCTTCACCTCTTCCTTCTAATTCTCTCTTTTTTAAGGCTTTACTCATCTTCATCAAACACCAAATCTTCAATTTGGAATATCATGTGTAAAATCCACACCATGACCCTCTCTCGTAAGGATGAAATAAATAGAGCCAAAAGAAATAAAGGAAAAAAAAATAGAAAGAAAAAAAAAAGAAATTGAATGAAATTATAAAAATAAATAAATTTCATTTTTTGTCTCTCAGGAATAATTCATTATAATGGGTGTTGTCACATTTTTTAATTGATAGTTTTCAAAGTATAATAGATTAAAATTGTCCAAATCGATTGTTTAGTAATTTTAAAGTTGCAAATTATGGAGCATGAAGTTGTGGTTCTATATATGCTAATTGATTATTTCAAATTCAAAGGTTCAATCGATTGATTAGGAATTTCAATCGATTAAATTTGTAAATTATGAAATATGAATATGCGGTTCTATCCAATCGATTAAAGTTGCAACTCATTGAGCAAGAATACACAATCCTTTGCTCTTATTGTCGTAGGAGTATTGGGGTAATTTTTTTCCATAGTGAAGCAATTTTGTTGCATTTTCTACCTTACCCGGCGGAAAAAAAAAAAAACTACCTTTATTATTCTTTCCAAACAATGAATAAATTCACCTCAATTTCTGTCACCCCCTCTCCTTTAGCAAATCAATCGCACCAAACAAAACGTTAGTGTTAATATTCATGTGGATCACATTAGTCGAACTCGAAACAAAACACATTTTTTACTCACTTGTAAAAGTGTTACACATGTAAGATCCAAGTCTATTTTCAATACACATTATATGCTCAATAAAATTAGATTTCATACATGTATAAATATTAAACGATCTTTTTTAATAAATTTAAAAATAATTCTAATATCATATTAAAATATAAATTATGAACTTAATTATACAAAATTTTCTTCATCTTACAAATAAATTTTATAAGATTAAATTTTATGATTATTAATTGTATAATGTGGTTTTTTTTTCTCTTTTATTGAGGAATAAAATGTATTCACTCGAGAAATTTCATTTTCATATTATATATTTCATAATTTTGTTGCTTAGTGATAAGACATAATACTTTATATTTAAATTTTATTATTGTCATTATAGTATTTTTTTTACCAATAGAAAAGTATTTCATATAACTCCCTATCCAATGGACACGAGTTTCTTTAGAAAAACCAGTTTCTTTAGCAAAAACTTATTTGATCAAACATTCTCCGTAACTTTTCAAATATTTTTATTATATTACATCCAAATAAGTATTAGTTTCATTATAAGAATTCCTTTCATAAAATTATTTTAGTTATATGATGTTCTTATAATAGTATTATAATAATTAAATTACATAGTTATATGTACAGTAATTAAATAATATAATATATTATAATTGAAGAGAGGAAAGTGTCAGATAACAAATAAAATTATAGTTAAAACTATCATCAAATTAAAGTGAGAATCAAAATAGTTAAAGTAT